TTCCACCTGAAATCTGTGGATAGTCAATACAATGTTAAACAAAAATCTGCACACCAGTGAAGCCATAAGACTTGCTTTTCCCATAGAAATCACAAATTTGCAGGAATGTTACTACCGCAAAGGTCTCTGAGTGGGAATATGCACACTGGTTACTAGTTTTATACAGCAAACACAGACTCAAAGGAATCCATGTTTAAAATGGAATGAGGCAAAAATGTGATTCTTTGTTGAACTAAATCACAATTTTTCCCACCATAACTTTTTTTGTTTTTTGCTTTGCAAGAACTGCCAAGCCTCAATAGCAAGCCAGTAACCAACCTCATGCTGATAATTTGCTTGTTCAACCCTGCAGGAGGCTCCTGCATGTTATTAAAGTTGAACTTACAGAGCAGGAGATAAAAACCTCTAAAGTAAGTAAACACCTGATTGAAAATGAAACCATTTTGTTTTCATGCAGGCTGTGTCAGTCACAGCCAGGGGAGATGTGGCTATGGCTGGATAAACAGAAACAAAAGTAATTTAATTCCTACATGGCAGTGGAGTGAGAAGTGAGATTCAGAGGCATGATCTATACACAATGACTAGTTATTTTGATGACTATATGGTTCCTTTAAGTAGTACCTTCATGGATCTATTTACATTTAGCACCTTTTCTGAAAACAAATGCAATGAAATGTAAAGAAAACAAAATGATTTGTGTTAAAATGTAACAATGTTAATGTATTCCTTTGACCAAAATCAGTTTAATAGATCATGTGGCAGCATTCTGAATAACTGCAATCCTCCAGATAACTTGGACAGTTAAATGGTGGCTCTGAGTCTCTGGGCTCACATGTTGCTGGCTGTCAGTGAGTTTTAAGCAACTGCAGGTTGCCATGAAGAAGTCTGACATGACATTTTAAAATGCTCCTTGGGAACATTCTGATGTGGGAGGAAAATACAGAAATATTTCAACTCTGCCTGACAGGGAAGAATGCTAAAAAAAATGTAATTCAGAAAACGTCACAAGCATTTGCTCACTAAACAGCAAATGTCATTCAATTGAAAATTAAAATATAAAACTCAAGCTAAAATATCCGTGCTATGCGGTTATTGCCATAGTTATGCATGTTGGGATTTTTATACAATGTATGTTTTATGGATTTTTGTAAAAAAAAAAAAAAAGGCATAATGCTATAATTGTCTTCCTTTGTTTACATGTGCACAGCCATGGTAAGAAGAGAATGGAACAGATCAGCAGATGGAAAGGTCCAGAGGTTATCCCCACCAGAACCTGTTTTTGGCACTGGAGCTTGTGAATGTTCTGTTGTTACCAGTTCTGCACCTCGTACACCATAACCGACATACTGATTTTACTTGTCTACCTGTGCATGAATTCTGAAATGGATAAACGAAAACTGAGTAATTACCATTCTATGGTTTTAGTTTTTTTTTTTCTTTATGTATTGTACTTATTATTTCTGTTTTTGATTGAAATATCAAATAGCCATGCATTTGTCTGTCTCTCTTTGTTATCAGATAATGACAGTCAGCTTGCCTACTATTTGTTTACAATGATACTGTAATTATTTTTTTTTTCAGTTTGAACCTGTTTTAAGAAGTCATGTAAGCAGTAGTTAGAAACAGAACTCCTCTGTTTTACAAGTATTTTGTTTTAAAGCTCTAAAAGTTTATCATAAGTAAACCGGAAGTCGCATGACTTGAGGGTTCCTCTACTGAGATGTTCAGTATCCCAGGTACAGAAAAGCACACAACGTTGAATAAAACCTAGACCAGAGAACACCTAACACGTGATATACTCTCTAGGAGTGAAGGGAAGTACAAACACAAAAAAAATTATTAACCTCAGGAGACACTTTGGGAAGCAGTGACTAGTTACGTATCAGAGTCATCAAGACCTTCAGTACAGGAAACATATGTTTGGTCTAAAGAAAAGGACAAGTAGTGGAAGATAGTAATTCAGAAATTAGGTAAGAGTCATTTAGCTGGTGAACATGAATATTTGATGAAATAGATGATGAAATAAAAGCGCAGAGGTACCAATATATTCAAATATTCATCCATGAGAGATCTAAAGCAGACCTCTTAGATTTTGGCCCCCCAGATGCTAATGGCCTGCAACCCCTATAATTCTTTGATTGCAATTGATGTCCAGCAAATCATGGGAGTTGCAGGTCAGCAACATCTCTGAGCAGAGTTTGGGATGCCTGATATAGAGAATTTATGTCCAGGTAATTAGTGAGTTGCATGTAGACTTTTAGCTAAAAAGTACCCCGACATTGTCTGTTCTATCACTTTAACGAGAACATGTTTTCTAACATGGATATTGATGTAGCCTGTGGCATCAATTATAGCAGAATATGTGCAAACAACATTATGAGCATATTTTGGTACACCTCAAAATGGCAGGTAAATGTCCTTGCCATTTCACACAGATCTGATTTTTTTTATAACCCAACAATAGTTAACTTGGGTACTCATGTCAATCTCTAGCAAAAATGTGGTAGCATCAAAGTGCATGCATTATAGCAAAGGGAAACATGGGAGGAAAACAAAAACCCCATTCTAGACTTGAACCAACTGGTGGAAGTCAAATCTCAATGTCTGTATAGGCATAGTTTGTTCTATGAAGGAACAAAATGTATTTACTCATTTTATATGAAAATTTGAATGCCAGTGAGATTGCAACTCTCTTTGACTCATAATATTTCAGAGTATTTGATGTCAGTTAGACCTAGCATGTCATGTCACTTGGTCTGATTTATCAAGGCAAAACAGGTGCTATTCTGGGTACAAAGTGCTACATGTTGAGGAATATACTGGATCTTTTTTAGCCCCAGATTAGCACCTGTTTTTGCCTTGACAACTCGTCCCCCCTTAGTGTTTAGTGAGCAGTGGCTGTTAATAGATATTTTATACTGGATCCTATTTCACATAATTCCTAATGAGTAGAGACTATGAATAGGAGTTTAAGAAAGCATATGTCATATAATGCCCCCTTGGGGCAGTGAACGGCAGATGGTAATAGTATCCTTTGCCACATGATAATTTCTGAGAATCTGCCACATATAGCAGTTATACAGCAACGTAAATGACAGGATATTTTTAGTGAGAAGACACTGTGAAAAACAGTTAGATTAGCACCCTCTTTTATACATCCCTTATTGTTCCCTTGGTAAACTCATCAGCTCTTTTGGCTTCCACTATCACTTCTATAAGGGTGACATGCAAATCTTTCTGTCCTCTCCTGACCTCTTGCCATCCCCATACCTCTCTGTTTTTTCCAATTGGATGGCTTCTCACTTCCTTAAACCTGTCAGATCTTTCTTCTTCAAGTGTTGCTACTCCCGTGTCTGTCTCCCTCCAAGTCAATAGCACTACCATCAACTCTACCTCGCAGGCTTGTGGCCTTGGTGTTCTCTTTGACTCCAACATAGAAGCACACACACATGTCCAATCATTTACCAAATGATTTCACTTCCATTTCAAAAACATAACTTGCATCTGCCCCTATATAAAACCAGATACAGCTAACATCTCTCAATTTGACTACTGCAATCCTTTTCTTAGAAGTCTTATGTGTTCCCAGCTTGCCCTGTTACAGTCTATAATGAATGTGGCAAAAAAACAGGGTGCAAGAGTATACTGAGAATTTGGCAAAAAGGCTCATCTTCCTGTCCACCTGCACCTCACACCTCAGTGGGTGCTTACACTTGCTTCCGGTAAGGAGACATCTGACTGCTATTTTGAGGTCAAGAAGGAATTTTTTCCTAGTTTGTGGCAAAATTGGAAGCGCTTCAGACTAGGTTTTTTGCCTTCTTTTGGATCAACAGCAACAACATATGTGAGGAAGGCTGAACTTGATGGACACAAGCAGTGGTGTACACATGACCCATGGGGCCCCGGTGCGAAAATTGATCCAGGGCCCCCTCCCACGCTTACTCGGTGCAGGTCGGGGCCGCGACACATGGCGGTGGGCACCTGGTCGCAGGGGTCGCAGGGGTTGCAGGGCTGCGACCCCACGACCGCGGTATGCACACACACTTAAAGGACCACTACAGACACCCAGATCACATCAGCTCAATGAAGTGGTCTGGGTGCCAGGTCCCTCTAGTTTTAACCCTGCAGCTGAAAACATAGCAGTTTCAGAGAAACGGCTATGTTTCACTGAGGGTTAATCCAGCTTCTGGTGGCTGTCTCATTGACAGCTGCTAGAGGAGCTTCCGCGATTCTCACTGTGAAAATCACAGTGAGAAGACACTGAACGTCCATAGGAAAGCATTGAGTAATGCTTTCCTATGGGCGGTTTAAATGCGCGCGCGCCTCTTGCCTCGCATGTGCATTCGGAGCTGAGAGGCAGACACTGGGGAGTCCGACGCTGGAGAAAGGTAAATGCTGAAGACACACACACACACTCTCACGAACAGACGCATACACACTAGCTAACAGACACACACATTTACTGATAGAGACACACTCAGCGACAGACAGACATACACACTTACATAAAACATACACTTTCACTGACAAACACACACTCACTAACAGACATCAAACACACTCAGTAACACACACAGTAACACACTCACTAGCAGACACACACCCAATAACAGACACACTCACTGACACACACACACACACATACACACTCACTAACACACACACACACTAACACACACACTAACACACACACACACACACTAACACATACACTAACACACACACACACTAACACACACACACACACACACACACATACACCACACACACACATACACTAAACACACATAACACACACACACACACATACACAAACACACACATACACTAACACACACATACACTAACACACAAACACACACATACACTAACACACACATACACTAACACACAAACACACACATTTTTTTTTAAAATTTAATCCCCCCAGCCTCCTTACCTTTTGGAGTGCTGGGGGGATTCCCTGGGGTCCAGTGGTGCTGCTGGGCTCCTGGTCACTGGGTGGGCGGGCTGTCTGGGTGGCCGGCACGCGAGGGAGCACTTTACACTGTGTGCTTCCTCTTCAGTGTAAAGTGCTCCCTCGCGTGCCGGCCGCCCAGACAGCCCGCCCGCCGGGGTCAGCAGGGCCAGCCTCGGGGGGCCTGGGGTGGCCGGCTCCTGGGCCCCCCAGGAGAAGAGGCTGGCCCTGTGGCTACATACCGGGTCGCAGGGGCGGCCAGGCCCCCTGGGACCCTGGTATGTACGCCACTGGACACAAGTCTCTTTTCAGCTATGTAACTATGTAACTATGTAAAATTTAGGGCTCAGTTTAAAATTTTGGTGCCTGATTACAAATCTCTATATAACACTACTCCTACTTATCTATCCTGTGCTGTCCAGGCCCTTAAGCTATGTCAAAAATCTGCATCTATCCTCTGTTCATACATGCACCTCTGATGCTCACCTTAAAGACTTCTTTAGGTTTGTGCCATTCTTATGGAACTCCCTTCTCTTCTCTGTAAGACTTTCACCCAGTCTCAATTCCTTCAAATAATTGAAAACTCACTTCTTCAGGAAAGCATGTCAATTAAACTGTTAATAGCTTCCAGTGGCGTACCTAGAGCATTTAGCACCTGGGGCAGATCCTGTGTTTGGCACCCCCCCTCAAAAAAATTAAATAAAACACCTGCAACTTTTTTTAATGTTTTCTTTCTTTCTTTTTTTTATATTTTGCACAAATTTGTAAACTTTGTAATACCCATCACTTCCTTCTACAAACCCTTATACTACCCCCTTCTACAAAACCCTTGCACTCCCCTTCCACAAATCCCCTGCTCAGCCTCCCTTATAGAATACCCCTGCACCCTTCTACAAAATCCCTACATCCTACACACACAGTTACAGGCAGACAGTAACACACAGTTAGAAGCATATCGTCACACACAGTTACAGTTCACGTGCAGACACTCACATGCACACAGTCACATGCACACAGTCACATGCAGACAGTCACACATACAGTCACAGGCAGTCACACATACAGTTACAGGCAGACAGTTACACATACAGTCAGTTACAAGCAGTTGCACACAGTCGTAGCCAGACAGTCATGCACACAGTTGCAAATAGTCACATATACAGTCACACACACACACGGTCACAGGCAGACAGTCACACACACATGGATACAGGCAACACCACAAAGTCACATGCAGACAGTCACACACAAAGTCACATACAGACAGTCACACACACAGTTATAGGCAGACAGTTAAACACACAATCAGTTACAGGTAGTCATAGACAGTCATAGTAAGAAAGTCACACACACAGTTACAGGCAGTCACATATACAGTCACACAGACACACACACAGTCACAGGCAAACAATCACACACAGTTACAGTCACACACACACAGTCACAGATAGACAGTCACATACACGGTTACAGGCAACATCACACACACGGTTACAGGCAGACAGTCTCTCACACACAAACACACACACACAGACAGTTACAGGCAGGCAGACAGTCTCACAAACACATATAGTTACAGGCAGACAGTCTCACACACACACACATACCCACAGGCAGTCATACACACACACAGTTACAGGCAGGCAGTCACACACACTCTTTTACTTACAGACAGTGTGGGCTGGAGGAGGAGTGGGTTCACAGAAGTCCTTACCTGGAGCCTGTTAGTTGGAGAAGCAGGGATTCCTTCTTGCTTCACCTCCATGTGCAGCAGTAACAGCAGCGGGTAAGGGCTGTGTTAAGCCCCGTCCCCACCATCAGTTTGTCTCCGCACCCGACTTTTCTTATTCACCGTATTGGTGAATATGAAGTAAAAAATAAAGTAATGTATGTACATTAACCAGAGCAAAACTTGCTCTAGTATATACAGCATTGGTGGTATAACCCCCACTTAACGCATTTTGCCTCTTCAAGGCTTCTTTAGACGTGGGACAGACATATTCATCAATACTTACTTCACCATTGCAGCATCCTTTTTTAGATGCACTTCATTTGAGATATCTGGGACGCTCACACTACCACATATCCTTAGACGGGGGATTGTTCCTTCCATGCGCTAAAACAGCTGAGCTCTGAGATAGCTCAATCAAATGTGAGTGAAATCACATGAGATCACACATCAGTCATTCGCTGTACATACTGTATTGCACTATTATTGTTTCTTCTGTTCTTTTTGTGATCACATGTGTATACAACCTTAAGAGACCTGTGTACGTATCAAGTTTTGTACATAATCTTTGGGTGCATTTTCTTTTTTCATTTTTTTCTATATTCTAGTAACCTACTTTATCCCATATTTGAAATATACCCCACTATTATCCCTTGTGCCACTTTACCTCACTCCCTCAAGAATGTATGCAGAGCCTTGAACACCCTCTGTTCCTGTGCATCCAACTCATCTTGTTACAAATACTTGTCTGTTAAGCCACCTATTGTACAGTGTTGTGGAATTTGTTGGTGCTTTATAAATACTACTACTACTAATAATAATAATATACAATGAATATATAAAACACAAATGGAACTGCTGTAATAGGATATAATTACACAAATAAGAAATTCAAACAGGTTGTGAGAAACATGAATCTAATATTTATAATGTATGAACAAGGATAACATACTCATCCAATAGCAGTCACATATCCTAGCCCATTTATTTCTGAAATATGCTTTTCTGCTAAAATTAGCATGACAATATTAATAATGTAATAGGCTAAACTTTGACCAGGTACAAAATAGTCTAATTCATTTTAAATTAACACCATTCAATCTTGGAAATGCCCTGTTCTGTTAACATTAGCTTGTAAGTCACATTTTATTTGTGTAGAACAAGACTAGCGATAAAATGCTTTAATATTATTATTTTTGTGTGTGTGTCCGAATATTGATGCCTGTCTGTGCACTAAGTAGCAATTAACTGCATGGTCATGAAACTATACTTGCAAAAATACTTTTCCAGACACACCACTTTACTTCGGTTTAACCTTTCATTTGCATAGGTTAATTTTAAACTGCAGTTCAAATTTAGCTTGAAAAGATAATTACAATATTTCACCTCCTTTCATCTCGGGTTATGTAAATGGGACTTTAATCTTTTCACAGTTCATATTATATTAATAAGTGAAAAAGTATTCTTGATTTACTTTATTCTGTCAATCACATTATGAGCAATAGGCTCAAATGGGAGCAAGCAGATACAAATCAGGTATTCAAGCTCTATTTTATAATCATGCTCAAAGAGAAATGACCTTATTTTCTTAGCATTCCGCTCATCACCTAGACAGTGAAGATTTTATTTTTAATTAATCTTATTACCAAGTTCTTATTGTTCAGTTTTAAAAAATGAACCAACACTCGTCAAACCCAAATTTGCTCAACTGCTAATTGCTAGACAATCTCCTTACAACTAGTCATCAATGTATTAGTTATACAAATATGATTTTGTATATTTATGTTTTTTTATCAATATAAAACAGGAGATATATATATATATGTATATATATTCTATGTATTTAGTTGAATGATTTGTATGTTTTCTGTAATACAGCATTATTGTGACACATTTTAATGGGCCATATCATATCTTGTTCTGGTGAGTAGAATCAGTACCTTTAGGCTTTTTGCAGTATACAATGTTTTTTTCAGAGAAAAAGCTGTGTTTACATTACAGCCTAAGGATACCTCGACTGGCCACTCCTAAGATGGCTACTAGAAGTGCTCCCTCATGAGGAGATGCTGATTGGCCAGGGCTGTGTTTGGTTTGTGCTGGCTCTGTCCCTAATCCGCCTCCTTGACAATATGAGCCAATCCAAAGCATTGTGGTTGGCTCAGATCAACACTTCTGATGATGTCAGGCTAGTAGGCAGATCAAGGGCTACGCCATCAGCAGCAGACTGTAATAAAGGTAAGCTTTTACTATATTTAGAGGACTGGGGGGGTTAGATGGTGTTTTTAACACTATATGGTCAGAAATACATGTTCCTGACCCGATAGTGTTCCTTTAATAAAAATTTGAGCATTATTACTGGGTAGAGTAAAATATTGTTGGTGTATTGTACTCCCTTTGCACTCCTAATTCTTCTTCCAGAGTTATGTTTCTTATACCTTACATCTCTGTTAATGTTTATCCTTGCTTCCTGTAACTTTTACAAACTACAGTATGCTAGTAATTATCGCATACGGCCCATTTTGTTGATTCTATTCCACCAACAAAATTAAACTGTACTATGTTTGTATTCTTTCCTCTAACTCTACTCCAGAGCAGTTCTATTTATGAATTTAACTATAACCTGTATGAAGAACTATTAATGTAATCATGTAATTAATTTAATTAATTTAAACACGTAATAGACCAAAAGACTTTCCCCACATTCTGGAATAGTAATGGAGCCTTTATTTTGTTTGAAACTTAAGCATTTTATCTGTGCTGACTTAAGCAACTTGTTTAGCCATTCAGTGCTGCTACAATTTCATACCGGTATGGATGCTGAACTGGAGGGTGGAGGCTCATATACTGGTTGGGGACATTTTGCAGTTCTGTCTGGGATTAGCGTGATCAAAAGACGGTGTAATGGCCAGGTATAAATGCACACCAAACAGACTGTAGTTTTCTCACTTAATAACTCAATAAACTTACTTTTCAAAATGTGAGTGTGTCTTATGATGTGCTTTTTGGGATTTGTCAAGAAGTGGGATATAAGAAATACAAGAGAACATATCTAAGACTCCAAGACAAGAGCCCCATATCAAGACTGTCCCACACATCCAGGAGTGCTCAGAGATATGCAATTAGCTTCACTCACAAAAAAATAAAAAAGGAATTAAGTTTATCCAGGAAAAAAACAGTACGGACATAATCAAATGTGACTATCCTGGCATTAATCATAACTATCCCCATTTTATGGAATGATACAAATCCATTTAAGTTGTCCTTTAAACATGAAAATTAAATAATGATTGCCACCAGCATGATTTGAAAGATTTTACAGAAAGATTTTAAATTTAAATTATTCTTGAGGGTGACACAGTACTGGAACTTGACAACATTCTAAACAACATTGTAGGCAGCAAGTGGGAAGTAGCACAAGTTTCATTCT